CAATCCCCCTTCATCGGAACCTGTGGCAGGATCTGGTGAACTCAAAAAACGTAGAAGGCGGGGCTTGTATGTCAAAGCCGGGAGCAGGTAGGTAGTCAATGTCTGTATTGGAGGGAGACGTGTTCTTGTTCAGCAGAACCTGTAGGAGGCGATATAGGACACGTCAGCGGAATGCGGTCTTCCTGCCCTGACAGGGACCCACCAAGATGGAGATCAGCACGGGGGAGTCTAGGGGTGAGAGTACCTACCTTCTTAGATTTCCATAGCCGCTGTGGTACGTATAGACTTTTCCTTACTCATCTATTCACAGTGAGAGCCTCCGCCCGCTGGCTCCTGTCACTGAAAGGTTGCCACAGACTGCGGGCGAGTTTTGGTCAAGACCGGGTTTGCCAGATCACCAGTGGGGCAGATTTCCTGCTCTCTAGGTGGCGTAGACCAGACCCACGGTACCCCCATTCCATCTTATGCCATGCTATGATAACAGGACTGGCCCACTGCATACTCCTGAAGAAACACAGTATCTTGTGGATGTGACACGGGGTACACCTTGAGTCTTCTATGCCGCCGCCCAATGTCCGGGGGGCGAAGTCTGTGGTGCCGGAGAAGGCCAGGTCTCTTAGCAATCCATCAATTCGGTTGCTCCCCCTGATGAGCTCTTTCATGTGCGATCAGATAGGATTTACGAGAAAAAGACTTCCCGCATAGGGAGCAGGAATATGGCTTCACCCCCGTGTGAACCCTCTCGTGCCTGCTAAGATCCGATTTCTGGGAAAAACACTTCCCGCACTCTGCGCACGAATATGGCCTTTCCCCGGTGTGGACCCGGTCGTGTTTAATGAGATGCAGCTTCTGGGTGAAACACTTGCCGCACTCGGAACAGGAATACGACTTTTCCCCCGTGTGGACGATTTCGTGCCTGTTAAGAGCCATTTTATGGGAAAAACTTTTCCCACACTTGGGGCACGAATACGGCTTTTCCCCTGTGTGAACCCTCCTGTGCACCATGAGATAGGATTTGCGGGAAAAACGTTTGCTGCACTCCGAGCAGGAAAAGGGCTTCTCACCCGTGTGGACTCTTTCGTGGCGATTAAGGATGGATTTCTGGGAAAAGCACTTCCCGCACTCCGAGCATGCGTAGGGCTTCTCCCCCGTGTGAACTCTTTTGTGTTTAATCAGTTCCGATTTCTGAGAGAAACATTTTCCGCACTCAGAACAGGGGTACGGCTTATGCTTCGTGTGGACGCGTTCGTGAATGACGAGATCCGATTTGCGGGGGAAGCATTTCCCGCACTTGAAACACAAGTAGGGCTTCTCTCCCGTGTGGACTATTTCGTGTATGAGAAGAGCCGATTTTCGGGAAAAGCATTTTTGGCACTTGGAGCAGGAATATGGCTTCTCCCCCGTGTGAATGCTTTCGTGTCTGATGAGAGCCGATTTGCGGGGGAAGCGTTTGCCGCATTCGGGGCAGGAATACGGCTTCTCCCCCGTGTGGACCCTCTCGTGCCTGATCAGAGCCGATTTGCAGGGAAAACGTTTGCCGCACTCGGGGCACGGATGAAGCTTCTGCGCTGCGCAGACCCTCTGCAGAGGCGCGGCTTCAGCTCTCTCAGCGAGACCTTCACCATGCTCATCAAATGGGAACTTCTCGTCCACATAGGTGGCTGGGGGGCCGTAATCGGGATAGAACCCCCCCTGTGTGGAGGGATCCGATGACAGGTCCTCAAAGTGAAGTTCCGGGTGGAAGTATGGGGCGAGGGAGTTGTCTTCTGAGGAATCGGATGTGATGTCATCATCTTCGATGTCAGACGTGATCAGAACTTCCTCGATGTTATCAATGTTGTGTTGGCCGTCTGCGGGAAACAATGGTCGGATGATGACGGAAGTCTGTAAAAGAACTTTCTGGAAAACTTCAGAAGACAACAACTGCAACAGAATGCAGGGGTGGCCAAACTTCGGCCCTCCAGCTCTGGTGGAACTACGAATCCCATGAGGCATTGCAAGATTCTCACAGCCACAGACATGACTCCCGGAGAAAGAGATGCTTCATGGGATTTGTAGTTTCACCGGCAACAGCTGGAGGGCCGGAGTTTGGTCATCCCTGGTAGCCTCTGTAAATCTTGCTGTTACTCCCTGACCCCCTCATCTGGACTGATTATCGTTTCCGAACCTCTGCTGCCCGCCTCGACCCCGGATTGGACCTCGACTACCCCCCTTGGCTTGCCCCTTTTTGTACCTCGCTCTCAGATTTTCAGGCCACTTCCTGCCAGTGGGTTCCTCTCCACCCTGCCAGCCCATAAGCACGTCTGGCACATGCCAACTGTCCAGAACTGGAGGTTTAAAGTCTCCCGCTTTGGTCAAGAGATCGGGTTCTTGGAACGCTTGTTAGGTCCAAAGATCTCAGCGCGGATTAATACCTTTACTTCATTGAAAGCCATATATTCCTCTCAATGATGGAGGTCAGGTGTCTCCAGTGATAGGTCCTGTTGCTGCTTCATCATACAAAGACATTGTAGACAATTGTGTTCTTCCAACCTTGTGGGAACAGTTTGGTGAAGACCCTTTTCTGTCCCACCCATGACTGTCCCCCATGTACAAAGCCAGCTCCATGAAGACATGGTGTGACCAGTTTGGTGAAGGCCCTTTTCTCTTCCACCATGATTGTCCCCTGTGTAGAAAGCCAGCTCCATAAAGACATGGTGTGACCAGCTTGGTGTGTGGGAACTCGAGTGTCCTGCACAGAGCCCCGACCTCAACCCTCCTGAACACCTTTGGGATAAACTGGATCACCAATTGTGAGCCAGGTCTTTTCATCCAACATCCGTTACTGACCTCACAAACGAGCCCAAATTCCCACAGACACTCCAAAATTGTGGCAAGCCTTCCCAAAACAGTGGAAAGGGCAGGAGGGCAACTCCACATTAAAGTACAACATGCCCAACAATATAGGTGGTCAGATGTCAACAAACGTTTGGCCATCTAGTGTAAAGTCAGCGTAGGTGACATCCAACATCAGTACCTGACCTCAAACATTTCCACAGACAACCTCCAAAATCTTCTGTGGAAAGTCTTCCCAGAAGAGTGGAGGACATGGGGGTAACTGCACAACTCTGATGGCACTCCTAACAGTTCCTCCCTTTCACGTACACGTTTCGGTAAACTCCCCACTACTAACAGGTTTTTATTGCAGTGCTCTCCCATTATAATTACATTTGTGGTCCGAGCCTTAAGCTGTCTCTCCTCGCTCTCTCTCTCCTGGCTGTCTCTTAGCTGTCTCTCCTCGCTCTCTCTCTCTCCTGGCTGTCTCTCCTCGTTTTCTCTCCTGGCTGTCATTCCTCGTTTTCTCTCCTGGCTGTCTCTCCTCGCTCTCTCTCTCCTGGCTGTCATGCCTCGTTTTCTCTCCTGGCTCTCTCTCTCTCCTGGCTGTCATGCCTCGTTTTCTCTCCTGGCTGTCTCTCTTGGCTGTCTCTCTTGGCTGTCTCTCCTTGCTCTCTCCGCTGGCTGTCTCTTCTCTCTCTCCCGTCTGTCTCTCCCCACTCTCTCCTGGCTCACCTTCAAACACTATAGTGCAATAGGCTGTGTAATCTAATACTCTTTGATGTAATACATAGAGGCACTACAACCCCCAGTATCCCCCAGAAAGGTGTCGGGGAGCTCGGCTCAGCAGACTCGGGCTGATAGGTAATCATGTGCGCACAGCGAGATCCCCTTCCTGATCTCCCAGCATCAGCTCTGAGAGCTCCTCATAGATCACCATCTACCTAATGGGCCCCCCTGGTCTAGCTGGTAGTCAATCTTCTTGTTACTACACACACAATCTAGGGGTATATTATCTCCTATTGTCTCCCACCTCTCGTTTCACGTCCTATAGCAATTTTGTGTCAGCGCTGATCAACACAATAACAGGATGTTACGATGTTATTAACCTAGACAATGGATGTTTTATAAGTTCTATAAGCTTTACATATATTACATGTTTATTAACGATTCCTAGACTCAAAGACGTCTCTGCATGGAAGGCCGGCTGCCCACAGGAATGTATTTACCTGTATATGATTCGTCTATCCCTTTAATGGTTATGTTTACCGTAAAACTCAATAAAGATATACATGCTTAAAAAAAAAAA